TCCTTGATACTGAGTTTCCTTTTTGGTAATGTGGAGATGAAATAACAGTGCATACCCCATTGGATGTTGTGAGGAGTAAGATAAATAATGATTTTTGTAATGAGGTCAGCAACTAATTAAAGTGCTCTGTAAGTTACCATTTAATGGTTATTTTAATTAGAGTTCTTATTCTGTTATTATGTAACATTAGTCAAGTTACTTAGTTTATTTGGACTACATAGTTTAGTCAGTTGTCTAATGCTATAAATTCCTGATTCTCTTGATGAGCTTACTAAAATTGATAGCCTTTATAATTTTCTACTTTCTCTGGAGAACCCTGACTAACAGGCTAATTTTATTTAAAAGAAAATAGAATAAAATTCCTCCTATCTTGTAGCTACTATATGGGATCATTGGACCCTTATTTAAATTTAAGATACTTAAGGGATCTCAGTGATCTTATTTTTCCTATATTGAAGCATTTTGCTGTTTTATCATCCTAGGAATTATTTTATTATTAGTTATCATTACTTATCAGTTCTTCTCAGCTGTGCATGAAAAGATTGAAATACTTTGAAATGAAAGAATGATGGACTTGCCAGAAGGATGAGGCAATAGTTTGAGAAAATTGATTGTCATTCTGCAGTTTTCTCACTGTATTGTCCACGGTATTGCATCATCTTTCAAGAAGATACAAAAGAAAACTTCAGATGCTATCTCTTTATTTTACTATTAGCTCTCATTTAACACAGTTGAAAATTCAGAATTTTTCATCTTCTGCTTGAAATGGCTGAGAGAAGAAAATTGACAGAGGAAAATGCTTCATAATTTTTACATGCATCAGAAGAGGGATGCTCTCAAAGAGACAAAGGGCAGCACTCTAGACCGTAATAATAGTAGTGAAATTGTTATAGTGAAATCTCAGCCTCTTTGTCTTCAGGTGTTGATATCCTGGTTGAATTGTCTTAAACTCGAGAATTGATGAGTGAGCTGTGTATTGATTGCTAAGGACAAAGAGAAAATACAGCATTCTATTCTAGTTAAGTCATTTGTCAGGAAACCTTGATTGCATAGTGTTTTGTGTTAAAAACCTAGACCATCTTATTTGCTAAAAGGACATGGGTTGTCTTTTATGATATTATACACCATAATTTATTGATAAAAAAAGGTCTGTGATGTTTAAATTCTTAAAAATTGTAATGAAGTTTTTTTCAGTACCCCTTTATATTTATTTCTGTAAAGTGTTCATAACATGTCTTAAAATATATTTTAAAAAATAGGGGAGAGTATAGCTCAGGGACAGAGTGCTTGCCTAGCATGCATGAGGTCCTGTGTTCAATCCCCAGTACCTCCATTAAAGATAAATAGATAAAAACCTAATTACCTCTCACCTAAATAAATAAAGGAAAGAAAGGAAGGAAGGAAGAAAGAAAAGAAAAAAGAAAGAAAAGTGTATTGGACCCACATGGTAAATGGTGATTGTTACCTCCTTTGGTATCTGAAGGCTCTTGTTTTAATACTTGAGATTGAGAACCTCTGCTTTAAACAGTTGTTACCATATATTCATATTATGTGTACTTACTATTGCTAAATATCATTCCTAGATTCTGGAATAGAGCAAAAAACAAAGCAAAGTTTTCTTAAGGATTTTTTTAAAAAAATCTTTTATTTATTTGTATTCTTGTTTAGGCAGTTCACAGAAATTTTCTTTTTCATGCGTGTGTGTGTTAATGTGTGTGTGTGTGTTAATGGAGGTACTGGGCATTGAACCCAGAACCTCATGCATGCTAGGCACATGCTCTACCACTGAGCTATGACCCCCGCTCTCTAGGATCTTACAGTTTAGTGGGAGGAGACAGATGATAGACACACAGTAAAATAGTAAGAATAGAGACTGTTTAGTGAAATAGAATGCTTAATAAATAATTTTTTATTTATTGCGAAGTGATTTAGGTAACTGAAATGAAATATTGAGGAGATGAAATACTATAGTTTTTTCTCATGTTTATAATGGTAGAATGATTTTTACTTTATCTAATTTTAACTTTTTAATATGTGATAGGTATGTTTCTGGTTTCCCTGGAAAAGTGTAAAGTAAATGCTTATGAGAATAAATTGAGACTCTGTTCAAAAATATTCTTTTCTAGGGCTTTTTACATGGAATATTTGAACGTCTTAAACAGTTTCTGGAATGCAGTAAGTACTTCCATGACAGTAGGTTTTACTGTAGAATCCTTATTTATTAGTAGCTTTTGCTCAGCACTTGCAAATCTAAAGAGAGGCTAAAAATCTTGTATCTTGATAAATAATTCTCTGAAATTGAAAGCTTAGCTTTGTCTTCATATACCTGTCTTGTCCCAAGTATTGAGGAAACCTTTTTTTTAAATCTATTTTGTATTCATTCCTTCTGCTTCATTTCTACAGCTACAGCTGCTGTTCCATGCAGACATCCACAATAGTCGTATGTTTAGCTAATATTCATTAAGTGTAGATCCTTTGCCAAATGCTGTTTAGACTTCTTATTGATTTGGTTTCTTTTAGTACATTATACATACGTATATGTTTGAGATAAATGTCCTTAAATGGTACTTTCACTTTGTAAATTCTTGTTCATTAACCTTCACGGACTTACCTTTAGGACTCTTTCTGGTCTGCTACCCTACACAAGAGAATTTAGCATTTGCATTTGTGCTGTACTATACTGATGGTCTGTCTTCCCTTTGATTGTAAGCACCTTTACTCAGGATGGACATACATACGCACACAGGATACATGTACATGCGTGCATGCTTGCACACAAATGTGTGTCTATCCTGTATGCATGTGCTTTTATGTGTGAGTTTATTTGGGGACTTTTTACCCTGAGAAAATATCTTCATTTACTCACTTTTAGGGAGTTGCTAATTGTTTTATGACAGTCATTTTCAGTTTAGTAAAAACATTGTTGAGTATACTGCCAGGCACTGTTTTGGGTACTGTGCACGCCAAGATGAGTAAGATAGCTCTTATAATGTAGTTTATTTTTCTAAAAATGGGCATTTTTCTCTTGTCATCCCCATGGGGGAGGCAGAAGGAAGAATAGAAGTTCTTCCAGGAGAGAAGAATGAGGTAAATGATGAGATAGATTATAAAGAGTATGATTAGAGGGCAGGATAGTTAATGGGCTGATGGACATTATTCTGAATATGCAAAAATTAATTATGCCAGGGAAATTATCAGAAGAAAATTGTTAGAAGACATAGGAAAAATAATGAGTGCATTAATCTTTGAATACTTTCTTTTTATTTACGTTGCTTGAAAAGTATTTCAAGTGTGACTAATTTGGATTTTGAAAATTGCTACCCTTTTACTTTAAAATGGGCGCAGTTTGTACTTTAGGATTAATTTTGTGAAATGTTGCAATGAAGGTTACTGTGTGCAAGTCTGGGTATTGCTTTTTCAAAACTTAATTTTTATGGTTTATTTGTTCAGAGTTGGGAATACATACTAATGAATTAATAATGAAAATATTTTAAAATATATTTGACAGTATTTTTGTAAAAAGTTTTATCTTTGTCTTGGTTGTGAATTTATAGACTATTAAAAACTTGTACTAATATTTAAAATGTATTTGTAACAGGTAGAAATATAGGTACAGATAATGTATGTAGAGATAGACTGGAAAAGACCATCATTCTTTTCACTAAAGTGGTAAGTTTTCTTTTGATCTTAAGTATGTTTTCTTAAATGAAATACATAGACTCAAATTTAGTAAGGAAAATGATGTTTTTTTTAAAGCATGCATTTTCACCTTACTGTAAAAGTAACTTAATTTCTGATTGTTTTTAGGAAAGCTAAAAAAACTCCTTTGTATCTTGAAGCCTTTAGAAGGCATATAATAAGCATATGTCATAGTGCGTAAGTCACCTTGATGTAAAAAAATAAATCCTAATAAATACTAGAGAAGTTGATTCCTCTAAGGCTCGTTATTCTCAAACCCACTGGAAAAAGCAGAGATAAAGAAGATACCAGTGCAGCTCAGCAGGACATAGATAAGATGCCCCAGTAGATAATATCAGGAAGTCGGTATATTCATGACACATTATCAGCATTAATATCACATGCCTTTTGAGTAGAATTTTATGGATGCATTGTGCTAGGCAATATGTATATATTTCTGATAAAATTAAATTTTTAAAAATATTAATTTTTATGAAATTTTGGGCTTGGGACTTGGGAAAAGTGTAAAGAATTGGGTTATAGCAACCAGGAAGACCTGGTTAGAGGACTGCATTGCCCTAAAATAAATATCTGAAGACAAGTGGCAGTAACTAAATCTGTAGCTTATTTTCCCCTTTTCTTTGAAGGTTCATCATAGGGTTGAGGCTGTTTGTTCCCTGGGAGGGGAGCAAATGAGTAGAAATGAGCTGTTCTTATTTTTGTGATTAGGTAGCAGTTACCTTTAGTTTCATTTGTCTTCATTTCCAGCTCTCATGTGCCAAATAGCCTCAACAGCCAAAGTCCACCTAATCTTCCAAGACCCAGATAAAATTGACTTCGAGTCTTTAAGTTAAAAACAAGAAACACAAAGCAAAGTAAAATAAGATGATATGGTTAGTCAGTGGGGCTGTGCAATGTTCACATATAATTTAACTTACGAAATTCATATTTGTGATCTCCATGACTTTATTAAAGACTTTAAAATGTGAACATTTTAAATGTGCCTCCAAATAGAAATGAGTAACTTTGAATCCCTCTCAGGTTACCACTCAGCTTCAATGTGTGGTCATGGTCAGTTTTGGTCTATTTGTGTACTATTTCTCTTTCTTCTCCTTTTTCTTTGTTTTAAAGCAAATCCCAGATATCATATAGTATTATCTGTAAATATTTAAATGTATGTCTTTAAGTGATAAGGAATTTAAAAAGAAACACAATCTTAACGCCATTATCACAGTTAAAAATCCATGTTATAGATTTGGCTGCCCACATCCTGATGTGTTACTTAATATATTCTTTATTTCTATACCTCTCTTCCTCCTATATTTCTTATAAACTTGTAGTTAGATATGGAGGCTTGATCACATTCAGGCCTTTTTTTTTTTTTAAAGGAAAGTGCCATTGGCAAGAATAACTTTATAGGTAGTGCCCTGTATTTCCCATTGCACCACATCAGGAGACGTACAGTATGTGGTTGTCTAAGATTACTGAGTGCGCTATCCATTGTAAAGTTTTTCAACAGCCTTTCTCTATCGATTCTAGCAGCCATTGATGATCATAGTCCTGATCTGTTGTTTGATTAGGGGTTACAGAGTGATGGTATTCTGATTCTGTTACTCCTTTTGCATTTATTAGCTGGAATTCTATGAAGAAGAAACCTCCCTCATCAGCTGTTTGATACACTGAAATACAGTTCATGTAGGATAATTTTTTGAGTCTTTCCCTTTATTACTTTTTTAAAGGCCCATCTTTAGTGCACTTAAACTTTTTGTATCACATTCATTCATTGTTATCAGATTAAGTATGAAGTGAGTTCATTTTGGACCCTGTACTAGAAATAATAGAAAGTTCAAGTAATGAGATATAATCTGATTTAATCCACACTGTATGGCATACTCCAAGAAGTATATTACATGTGAAACTGCACATACATGGATTCCCCACCAAGATTCAAAATTTTCTAAGTGATTACTAGCAAAGTTATGAGATGTACCTATGAATGATTATATTCATATATGAATTTGGGGATAATACATTTTAATTTTTTTCTTTATAGCTTTTGGACTTCTTGGATCAGCATCCCTTTTCATTTACTCCTCTAATTCAGAGATCACTGGAATTTTCTGTAAGCTATGTGTTTACGGAAGTTGGTGAAGGTGTTACATTTGAACGATTCATTGTCCAGTGCATGAATCTTATTAAGATGATTGTAAAAAATTATGCTTATAAGCCATCCAAAAATTTTGAAGGTAAGTGATTTACTGATAGTTTTATTTTTTTTCATTTCCTTGTTTTAATCTAAGTGTGAAGTAATTGCTGTTTTTATTTAGATTTTTTGAAATCCATTTATTTGAGTATGAAAAATAAAATGTTGCTGGGACATGAAATAGAAAAAAGGATTAGAGTCTTTAATATGGAAATATCAGCCTTTAGAAACCATACTGTGCATTTAGTAAACTGTCTTTTATAACAATGTAATATCAGTTGAAGCCTAGGGACTTGAAGAATTAAGTACTGCAGTAACCACTGCAGCTCATGTTGTAGCCTGTATTTATTTGTATAATTAAAGGTTTTTTTGACTTTATATAAAGTGGGGTTGCCTCTAGACAGGTTAAATTGTTATATTGGAGTTGACCCTTGGACAACATGGAGGTTAATCTGCGTGTGATTTATAGTTTGCCCTCTGTATCTGGGGTTCCTCTCTTCTGAGGATTCATCCAGCTATGGAGCATGTAGTGCTGTAGTATTTCCTATTAAAAAATACGAGTGTAAGTGGACCTGCAGAGTTCAACCTTGCATTGTTCAATAGTTAATTTGGAATTCATTTATGTGCATGTATACTGAGATGAATGAGGAAGTCTTGTAAGAGAGAGAGATGTACATTAGTCACTTCAGAACAGTGTGATCATATGTATAGCATGGAAATGTACAAGCTATAGTGTGGTAAAACAAAAGCAAGACTGGTGTGTGTGGTATGAATAAAGGCAAGAGCCTCTCTGAGATTTGTCAGTAATAAAAATGAAAATTTATATACCACTGTATCTTTCCCCCCAAGAGTGTACTTCTAGGTTTGTTGGAGTTACATAATCTAACTTAGAATGAATGTACAGTTAACTTGGAAATTTTATTTTTCTAGATAGCAGCCCTGAAACTCTTGAAGCTCATAAGATTAAGATGGCATTCTTCACGTATCCCACTCTGACAGAGATATGTAGAAGACTGGTCTCTCATTATTTTCTGTTAACTGAAGAAGAACTGACAATGTGGGAAGAAGACCCAGAAGGCTTTAGTAAGAATAATTTTTTCAGTTTTTGCATGGCATTTCTTCCATCAACAGATATCATTTATTTGAATGATAGGTATTATAATATTGCATTTTAATATAGCATTTGATCTTAGAACCTTGTGAGTTTTTAATTTTAATGTTTAAAGTTTTTAATTTATTTTTTATTGACATATAGTCCGTTTATAATGTTGTGTGAGTTTTCAGTATACACATATATTTCAGTCATATATATACAAATATGTATTCATTTTCATATTTTTTCCATGAGAATCTTGGTTTTTAAAAATCAATTATTTTAGTGATAAAATTATTATTCTTTCTTTGTTAGCCATTAGTAGATACTTATAAGCAGAAAATGAATGACTTGTTCAAGTATATAAAAGTTTTTCCAGAAAAATGCCTTTTAAACTTTTTAGATGTTATGAATTTATCATGTAGTTTAAAACAAAAATATAAAATTAACTGCCTTTCTCTATTATCAGGTCAGTTTCTACTTTCTGATTCATTCTGTATTTTATTTGTACAAATTTTTACTTCAGAAAGAAGTTGGAGATGAAATTTCTGAATTGCTGAATGGGTTACCTATTTAAATTTTAATTTAAAATTAACTTTTTGATGATTGAACTTTTTACAGGAGATCTTTTTTTATCTGTTTGAATTTAAGTAGTAGATAGGATAACTCTATCAGGGCCTTTGCCAAGGAAAAGCAAGGAATTGTGTACCTGATAAAGTACCTGTCTGTGAATGAAGTGTCATGTGTGAGTCACTTGGGCCATGGTGAGAATAGGCTAAATTTTAGCCTCTTCTCATAACTTTGGCTGAGTGCCTTTGTGTAGTTATACACATCTATTTCCAATATTTTTAGAATGCCTTAAACATTTTTGTGAGACTTACCGTCCATCTCTTTTTGTTGTTTAGAAGTATTTTAGTCCATTTAGAAAATACAGAACTGCACTGTATAATGCATCTTTTTTGTTTTGCTTTTTCTCTTAGCTAAAATGTTACGTTTCATATTACTTTTTTTATGTGGTGATAAAGTACTATAACATGAAACACTGAATCCCTAGAGTTTGAAAGTCCTGAGAATATTTTACTTTAAATATAGGAAATTTATGGAAACTATGACTAATCATTTTAACTTATAAAATATTATTATTGTATGAAATGTTTCTCAAGATTGTAGGCATAGTGTATCAGTTATTGTCAGGTACCCTGGGAATGACAAGTACTTTGAGCTTTCCTTCCTATAGAATTTTTAATGAAGGTGAGAATGCTTATGGACATAAGCACTTGATAGGTGGCTGTGGTATACACAGATAAGATTTGTGGCTTTTAGTAAAAAAATCTGTGCAAGACCTTGTGTTCCCAAGGATTTATGCTCAGTGTTATTTTAAAACAATTCACAGCTTTATCAATATTATTTAAAATCTTTGTTTTGCAAACTGGGATTTTTGGAAACATCATTATTGCATTTGTGGAGAGCATGATTTGTCACATTTTTAATTGCAGCAGTGGAAGAAACAGGAGGAGATTCTTGGAAATACAGTTTGAGGGTAAGTATTGATTGAAAGAAAATTTGATAGGGAAAAGCTTAACACTTCCGTAACTCTTAGTAGAGACTGATACTCTGTTGAAGGTTCCAAGCATTAAGCCAGGCAGATAGGAAATTATTTATGATTGCAAGAATCCATATTTGAGAGGAAAGCACTTAATTAAATTGAGAATTTGTATCTGAAAAAAAAAAACTTTTAAATTGGAGGTTTGCAAAATGAATTTTTCTTCGTTTTGCAAATGGATTGGGAAATAATTGTCATTGCGGGAATACAAAATGTTCTTGAAAGTCAAAGCTGTCTTTTTTGGCCAGAATGATTTTTTTCCTCCTAAGTATTTCAGTAATTACAAAGCTTCTTTTGATATGTTATTTTCTTGTACTCCTTAGTATGATTCTCATAGATCAGCCCATTGCTTTTAGTTACAGAACACTTTTTAAATACACATTGTTGATATGGCCTGCATTTGAGTAAGATTTTTCAGATGTGGTCTTTGAACTGTTGTTTTTGTGAAGGCTTGTGTTTACATAATTTACATAATTTGCCATTATTTTTCTAAGCATGTGTGCTACTGTATTTAGTTTCATAAACTTCCATAGAAAATCTTAGTTCTTTGGAAATTTTATTAAAAATTTACTGCTTTTTAAGTTTTTTAAACTTTCTCTTATGGAAAATGTCAGACATATTAAAAAAATAGAATCATATCATGAACTCTTCTGTATCCAAAACGTAGTTTACCAGTTACCAACTCATGGTTAGTCTTGTTTCGTATAAGTACTCCCTCACCCACCTGGATTATTTTGAAGCAAATATCTGAGATGACATCATTTAATCTGTATACATTTCAGTATGTGTGTCCGTAAGATTCCTTTTTAAACATGAAGTGTAATACCTTACAAATTTAATTATACTCTCCTTTATATTATTAAACATCTAGTGATTCAGTATTTTTAAGAGCAAAAATGAATCATTCCTTTTATGTGGCTGTATTGTGGTTTCTTTTACTGTTTGTGTCTGTTAAAAGAAATATTACAGTCTGGTGAATTGAATTCATGAATTGCTATTGTTACTTATGTCATTGCTAAGAAAACATATAATTTTTTAACATATTAATTCCTGGACAGTCAGTCATTTATAGTTCTGAATCTATAAATGAATGTGGCTCCAGACTGCTTTTTTAATTTAAAGAATTATTTAAAATGTAAATATTTCCTGTCTGCAATTTTACCTTTTTGAATGCATAATGCCAAAAGATTGAAATAGTGAAATAGACTTTCCATGTTATGAGTTAAATTATTATAATTTGATTTTCTTTCCCACTGTGTTTACATAAAACAGTAATCTACTTTTTTTTTTTTAAGTCAAGAATTGGGAACAGATTCAGAGATTTAGGATTTTAAAAATGAGTATTCTTTGCTTTATTGTAGAATTAATCAGTACTGTGAATAATTTTCACTAGAAATTTGTTTTTTCCCCCTCCAGCCTTGCACTGAAGTACTATTTATAGATATATTCCATGAATATAATCAGACTCTTACTCCTGTACTTCTAGAAATGATGCAAACACTTCAAGGTGAGGTATATTTTGTGATACTTTGATTTATCTATTAATGTTCAGTTAAAAGCTGTGAGTGCCCACTACATGCAGTGCACTGTTCCTAGACCATGTAATAGACATGAATTTGAGAAAGACCAAATCTGTACTTTTTTTTTTCGAAAAGATGTCCTTTATGATAGAAAACAAGAATGGGCAATTCACAAGTGAGATAGACCTTGAATGTGATAGTCAGATTTTACTGTGGTAAACACACTAGCAGTGTAAGCAAAATAGTGGGCAGTTAAGTATATTGGTTGGGGAAGGAGCTTATTTGGAGCATGTTGTGGGCAGTAGGGGGAGTAAAGGTTTAAATAATAAACATTAACGTTAGACTGGTGGCAGTGGGAATGGAAAGAAGGTAATGGATTAAAGAGAGAATGATGAAGTGAAATTTTTAGTGTTTGATCATTGTATTTTGTACACAAGTAATTAATTAGTTAACTATTAAGAGGGATTTATCACTTCTGTCCATTCTGCTATACTATAAATTTTAGGGAGGGGGCAGTGAACACCTCTGTTTTGTTCACACCTTATTCCCAGGGCCTGGCACATTCAGTAACTGTTTGTTATTTGATTGACTTTCGGCAATTAACTGACTGCGCTTGGCAAGGGAAAGTTGTCAAAGATGATTCTGAAGTTTAGAGTCTTAATGAGAGGGAAAGCAGTTATTAGTAGTGGTTGGAGATAGACTTTTACTTTTGGAGTGAGTGTATAAGGAGTCATGGGAGAAGAAAAGAGGGTCAAGGGTAGAACCTGAAACTTTCACCGTTAGGGATATGAGGAGATGAATGTCCTGCAAAACAGCCAGGTAAGAAACCAGGTAAGAAGCTATACTGTTGCAGAGAAGTAGAAATATATGGGGGTGAATCCTGGAGAGGAGCATGTTGTCAGAAGTGTCCAGTGTTAGACGAGGCAGAAGGCAGTGGAATCTTCGGAAACAACAGATTATTTGATTGGTTTGAGTAGGAATCACGTTGTAAGGGATCAAGGATTGAGTAAATGGTGATGTAAGGAATGTCAGCAAGAGCATGTCCTGTAGGGAAGGAGACTCCTGAACTTGTTTGTAGTAGTTAGTTTGTAGTAGTCACTTTTTAGGCTTTTGTTCTCTCAAAAACCTAATAGAGTGTTCCCGCTTAAATTATAAACCTAGGGAAGAAATGAGCCATCTGTCAAGTTTTACTGAGTTCGTTTTTAAAGATAATTTGAATGTTAATTGTATTTTTCATATGGATTGATTTCTAATGTATGGTTATTTACAGTTCTTAATGCAAGATTACAGATTCTTAAATTTGGTAATATTTATACTGCTTAAATTACTTTGTTGTTGAGTTTAGAACATTATTTCCATTTTCTCCCGTCCATTTATTATTTTTTTTAAACTGCTATAGGAAAATGAGTAAGCTAGTTGGGTTAAACTGGTAAGTTGCTCCGTGGTGGTAAAGTTTTCAGTGATTTCACAGTTTAGTTATTTTCTTTCTGGTTTTAGAGCAATTTGCTTATGTACAGCTGTACTTAATCTAGCTGTTGGACTAGTGAGCTTAAGAAGTCATATTTAAAAGCAAAAAAAATGCTTTGATAAACTGATAGAAATCTTTCTATTCTAAAGAAATAACTAGATATAGAAATATTCTAAGGAAATATAAGTAGACGATTTTTCGTGTCTTAACCATAGCAGTCTCCTTTCTGGATAGTAGTGCAGAGACTGTCAGCTCTTTTTCTCAAGTTTCTGCATTACATAATGAATTTCATTTTTCTGTTTACACTTCTCATTTTTTTCGTCACCCTTGATATACTGTCGTAACCTGGTTTATTTGTTATGGGTAGAACTTCTGATGTTAATTACCTATTCTTGTTCTTCTTTTTCCTATTGTGAGATTCATTTTTTTAAATTCTTTTTAAGAATTTTCGTTTATAATCAGGGTATAATACAGTAGTTAACAATTTGACATATATTTTCTATAATATTGCTTGATATAACAATTTTCAAATATGTTATAATGATTTTTAAAATTACAATATGGTTTTACATGTTGTACCTAATGCTGATGTTCTTTAATGGTGATGATAACAGAACTTAAACTTTCTCTTTATACCTACATGTATTTTAATGTCACAAAATATATTGTACTTAACTGAATTGAGAAACTAACAAATTGCGTTTAAGTATGTTTTTAATGTTTTATTTAATGTTTTAATGTTTCATTTACATTTACTGATGCTTATTTTTTCAGGGCCCACTAATGTGGAAGATATGAATGCACTATTAATCAAAGATGCTGGTATGTTAAACTAAAGTGATTTAGAAACATAGATTTTTTTTTTCAGTAGATGATGTCTCTTTCGTGGCAAATTTATGTTGAGAAGGTTGGGATACAACTGTACCTAAAATAAAAGAACTGTCTGGTAGGGGAGATAACCAAGTAAGCAGACAGTGATCATAACATAGTACCTGCTGATTAATATTAAAATAGGTGGTAATCAAGTAGTCCTTGGAAAACCACAAGGTAGTTTTAGTGTGCCCAGGGAAAGGCTCCTAAAGAAATATAATATGAGGGCACAGGATAAGTGAGAGTTAACAAGGGGAGGGGTGTGGTTCCAGGCAGAAGAAGCAGTATGTACAGAAGCTTAAAGGGAAGAGCAGCAAGCACAGTTAAGTTTTGAACTGGGTATATTTTTGTTTAATTGGAACAGAGAGGTTAAGGGCTTGTGGTGCAAGATGAGTCTGGAAAGAGGAACCATATCATAAAATATTGTACTTATTTGGAAGCAGATGTTATTTTATAATTTTTGTAATTTGACTAGAATATTTTCATATGAATGTAATTTTCTGTTTGAAAGCTCTAAGGAGTATTTAAGAAAAGCATAAAGTAAGGTAACTTACATAATGTTTATGAAATGTATTTAAATAATTTCCCTGATTAACATATTGTTGATTTCCCTTTATTAACGTATTGCATATTTAAAGTAGTCCCTAAGGCTTACTTTCTTACATAAGGACAATTAGCATTTGGCCCAGTATCTGAAATTTAAGATCTTTTTTCTTAAATCTTCTTCTTAGTATATAATGCTGTTGGATTAGCAGCTTATGAGCTGTTTGACAGTGTTGATTTTGATCAGTGGTTTAAAAACCAACTTCTTCCAGAATTACAAGTCATTCACAATAGGTAAGTATAAAACTTTGTATTTATTATTCACTTACTTTGATGATTTTCTGATGAAGACAAGAAGGCATTAAAATTGCTTAAAACTTTAAAAAAGTCATAGTATGACTTAACTGATAGTGTCGAGTATAAAAAAGAATGACTTGTGAACCTTATAACTGAAAAATTAGCAAAATGGTTTGTTAGTATGTTACTTTACTTCTAATGTGAATTGTGATATGTGTGAAGTATTTGATGTTAGATGAGATAGTTTGCAGGAGGACATTTAATTTAATGGAAGATGAAGATCTCTGCATTCTAGGAGTAAAATGTGTGCATAAGGATGCCAGCTGGAGAGTTAGCAGGGTCTAGGCCTGATGTCAGAAGTAGCCTAACCAAAGTAACATCCAGGAAAGATGGCTGTCTTGGGATCACACAAAGCATATTGCAAGCCTTTGGGGCGATGGTGGAGTAGGATGCAGAGACACCATAGCAAAAATCATTTGGACACACTTTAGGCTCATATTGAGGTACCTAATCAGTAGTACAGATATGTCTGACATTTAGTCAGACTTTTGCCCAATGCTTATGTTTCAAATACTTGCCTAATCATTTTAATTTTAGGTACTGAATGAGTAGAATGGAAAGGGTAAAGTCTTTGATAGTTTTTATAAATTTCTTCTTAGTTTAAAATTAGGTACTTAAAAAATAATTCCAAGCAACTTCTTTTCTTGTTTTGAGTTGGGCAGTTCTAGTTCTGTACATCTGGCACCTGTTAGAATGCATATAGTCATAGGTTAGTTAACATTTCTTGGCTACTTAATGGATAGAAAGCCACCCATATATGGATTATTTTATAAATATTTAGAGCCATAGAACTGTAGAGCTGGAGATGCTTTAAAAGTAGTTTTATCAGTAAGTAGCTATTTATCCATTCAGTTATTCATTTATTTAAACAACAAACGTTTTCAACACTGGAACTGAGGAAGCTGTGCCCTGAGGAAGCAGTGGAGAGTAAGATGAGCTTCGACTCTGCCCTCAGGAAACTGGTGAGCCTTTGATGGAGAAAGCCTTGAGTAGGGAGACAGGTGTGTCGCTTGGTTGTCCTTGAGCCCTAGAGGCTACTTAGCCTAAACCTGTGCTGTCCACTGCAGTAGCTGGTATTTGTGGCATGGCTACTGAGCACTTGACATGTGCTAGTGCAGCTGAGGAAATGACTTTAATTTTAATTAAAATTTGAATTTAAAACCTGAAGCAGTGTAAAATATGTATTGATTATATGTTGAAATGATAATCGTTTAGATATATTATAGTAAATTAAAAATTACTTAAATTTAATATGTTTCTTTTTGCTTATTTTAAATGTGAGTACCAATAGATTTAAAATTGCATGTTTGGCTTATGTTATATTTATTTTGGACAGAGATTAATCTAGACCAGTATTTCTCAAATTTTAATGTGCATAAGAATCATCTGGTGATCTTGTTAAAATGCAGGTTCTGGTTTAAGTTGTGTGTCAAGGTCTGGGTCAGATTGTGTGATTCTGTCACACTTCCAGATAATGGTACTGCTGGTCCAGGAATCACACTTTGAGGAACACACTGACCCCTCATCTTTAATTCCACCCCAAAATACCATCTTGGAAGTTGAACCTTCCTGAGCTTGATTCTCTTCCCAAAGATCTCAATTCAAACTTGAATGTTCTGTGATTTCTCCATTTTCTCTCCACAAGTCTTATTTGCACATCTGTCACTTTGTTCAAATTATCCCTATCCTTTGAAATGGCATTTTTTCAGTTTTCTACCCAAAATACTGCTTATCCTAAATGCTCAAATCTCATCTCCTTCTGCCTGCTCTTCTCTGTTCTTTTTCCAAAATCCTAGTATATAGTTTTGCAGTCTTTAATTCTTCTAGGCTTGTTAAACAATTTGAGAGCAGGGAATACTTACTTTTTTTTTGCAACTTTAATGAATAATTCTTTCTACATGCTTGATCATTTTGTAAAATCATAATTTTCTTTAAAATGTGGTATATCCATTAGTTTACCCCATTTATATCAAGAAAGAAATATCATCTTGCCACTATAATTTATATAATATTAAGAAGAGATTTTGTGGATGGAATTCTTGGACACAAGTGGTTTTTCTCCTTGCATAAAGAACCTTCATTTCCCTTATCAAAGATGACCATAGAGAAACAGATACGTGTGCATCTTACTGCAGATGTTTTATAGCTTATAAAATATGAATCATTATTTTTGGTAATCTGAGTCACATTTTGTAGTTGGGCACCTTTTTACAAAATCATTAAGTTAGGCTGAAGTCAGTGTAAATTTATATGAACATTTATATAAGTTTAGAAATCTCTCAAAGTGTTCTGAGAATAATCTTCATGAGAGTAACAGAATTGGAAATGGAAAACTGAATACAGGAGCTCCTTTATTAATACTTTTTGTGGCCTCTCCAGCCTTAAGCTTTGGGATATTAGCTGGTTATACCTATTTTGATTAGCTGGCTTTGGTTACTTGAGGAACAGAAGTGGACTTGGTTTTTTTGTACGTGTATATGTTATAATTCTTTAATACAAGACAGTCAGATTCACAATATATTTCCCTAAGAATTTTCAGTTTTTTAGATCAGAACTTTATTACTAGTGTTTATACTGTGGTATATTTAGAAGTAGCTTTTAAACCTTTATATTAAAAAGTACAAATTGCTTTCTTACATTTTAGATTTAAATGATGAAATATACTAAATAAAATAGACTTCTTAAGATATTTAACGTTTTAATTTCATGGTTTTCCCTATCTAGGTATAAGCCATTGCGACGCAGGGTGATTTGGCTCATTGGTCAGTGGATTTCTGTGAAATTCAAGTCTGACTTAAGACCCATGTTATATGAGGCAATTTGTAACTTGCTTCAGGATCAAGACTTAGTGGTATGTTGCTTAAATGTCTTACATTGCTTAAGCGTTTTAAAACAGTTATGACTTTAACCTATGCTAAAGTTCAAATTTAGAAACGGTTTATATCTTTCTTTAGAATGTTGATGGCGTTTCAATGCTGTAGTTATTCCTTGGGGAGCGGTTTGGTTTGAGGGGAGGAAATCCTTTATTTGCCCTTGTCATCACTAGTCAATGAAAAAAAAATTAACAAGCTCTACCAATCTAATATTATTTATAATTTTTTAGTAAAAAAATAAGAAGGTAGTTTTTTAAGATACTTTTATAGCTTGCTCTTTTTTTTTTGCCTTTAGAATTGTTTCTTTTAGGACTTTTTCTCTGTGTATAGCATTGACATAATATTCTTGGTTTTGGTTACTGAAAACTTATTAATGACTTCTTTGTTGCTTTGTTCCCCTTCAAAGCAGTAGGTTTGCTGCTTTATTATGTGTTGGTTACTCAAAGAGATTTTTTTTAAGATGTTCACCATAGTGTGGAATAGTTTTTTTCCCCCTCTTAGTGCTTTATTTTATGCCTGAGTGAATATATTCATGACTTAATATACATTTCTTTGTCTTGGATATGACTCCAGCATAGTCTTTGAAAAGCGAATCTAGTTGTTTTTTTCCCAGAGTTTCAAATGATTTTTAGATAAAATTAAGTGATTTTTCTCCTCTCTGAATTATGGTAAGATCTTGTTTAAATTTCTCAATATCCCCCTTCTGAAAAAATTTTGAACCCACCTGATTACCCTGTTTTTCAGCAAAGACTTGGGCCATACTTTTCTCATTTTCACACGTGTGCCATGATAATATAAACTACTTTTAATGTTCAACAAAGAAAACATAATTAAAGAAATTATGAAATTAGCAAAACGTAATTGCAGAAGCACGGTACATTATAAAGGCAGATTGAACTCCTCTTTGGATCGTTCTACTTTAGTGTTACCTACTTTGTTTAAATAATTGAGAATTTACTCTAAATATCATTTTGTAGTTATTAGATAGTTTAAGCATGGGTAATCTGTGCTTAAACAAGGGAATCCATTAAAAAATAAAAGAAAATTTATCAGAAATTTAAAATAAAAAGTATGTAAGATACGGCTAATTTCAACCTGTGAGAAATACTTGGCTAATGAAATGTGGGACGATAACAACAATGTACAAACACAGACATATGTACAAACATACAAATGTGAATATACACACACACACATATATACACACATGCAAAGTGTATCGATTCTGATGAATCTAAGTCTTCTCTGGCTTTCAGAGTCTATATTCTCTTGCTTGACTGCTGTGGTTATGGAGTTGGGATAGATTTAATCCTGTAGTTGTCTGAGTGGCTTCCTAGTCTTACGTCTTATGTCCATTTTGCTATAAGGCTGGCTATGGCAGAATAGAAATAGTACATCAACTGGTGACTTCTCCAGCTGGCTTTTTAATTTTATATCTGAGGCCACTGTGTAGAGTACATCTGATACTTGCATGACAGTGTTGTTTGTTCTGGAGGAATATATTGCAAGTTGAGTGAAATTTTTTTAGTGTATTTGAAATAGTATTATAAGTTCCTCAATATTTAGCAATTAAAATAATTTAGGCATAATGGGCAAGCATTTATAATATTGTAATATTTGGAAACTTTTTTGGTAATAAGTGTTGGGAATTTTGATTCAGTGTAAGATAATTGTTACTTTGAAAATTTTTACTTCTAAGCCTATTCTGATTAATCTTTAAAAAGGCGATGTTTTTACTTTTTTTTCATTTTAAAATCTAAGAATTATAACAAGGAAAAAGAAAAATTCAGTGGCTGACATAACAAGCATCTGGTTTTCCATATTTCCATTGTAATAGTGTTCCATATATATTGAAAATATTTCATTTAAAAAAATTACAAATGCAGTTGAATCTCTCTGTCTTTCCACTCTTTCTGTTGTCTTGTTGTTGAGCAGAGGTTTTTAATTTTAGTGCAATTTATCAGATTCATCAGTTTCCTTTTTCTGTTTTCTTCTTTTTGTTTCTTGTTTAATAAATCCATTTCCTTCATCCTTGGTTCTTTGTTCCATCTGGAATATATTTTTCAACATGATATCAAGTCAGATTCCATTTTTATTATGTCTTTTTATAAGGACATCAATACTACAGTGCTTTATTGAAAAATTCATTTAAAAAATATCTTCTACATAACTCCCCTTAGAACATGTTACTGAGTAGATGTGCTTATTGCAAGTTTAAGATTTGAGAATGTTGTTACCACAGTACAGAATGACTAAATTTTATGTGAGAGGATCTTTCTTTTCCTAGGACTGCAGATGATTCCCTGACTAGAATATTTGATTTGCATACTGGGCCTCTTTATTTTTAAGTTTTCTGACCGAATTATCTCTTTCAACTTTGGAAATTATAATAATTAAAAAAAATTTTTTCTTACGTTATTTATGCAACCTTCAATAAAATAAGCAGTAAGCTACTAAAAATTAGCATTAGTGTACTCTTTCAACCTTATAAGAGGCCATATATATATATATATATGATAAACTGTGGTACAACCAGCAGATTTATAGTTTGAGGGTAGAGTGTATTATGGTTATTGTCTGTCAAGCACAGAAATGGCCATCTTCATGGGCAGGTTGAATACCAACATAGAAATAGTGAATTTTCAATATGGGAAGCCAGTTATGGAGTTTAGGAAGGGACTTTGGATGGTATGTACATGACTGTAGCAAACCCTGAAAGCACTGTGGGAGGTGCAGCTGGGATTTGGGCAGAGGTATTTTTAACAAGGTGCATTGAAGTTCTTCTGTCTTTTCACTCTTGTGCGTTTTATGAGACTCCTAGTTCTGTGAAACTTTCTGCCTTAACAGTTTTGATTTTGCTTTCTACTTGTCCATCCTGTATGTCTCAAAACATTTACAGATTTTAAACTCTGGGCTAGTCTATGTTTTCACAGAATGAATTCTGAATTCACTTACATTCAGCAAATATAATTTCCAAAGGAAATATCAAAAAAATCTGAGTTTGAGACATCAAAATGTTAGGCCACTCTAAAACTAGAAAGAAAGAAAACCTTAATCTAGTAAGTTTCCTGTAGACAGTTTTGGTTTTGTATTGATGTGTTTAGTATCCATATGATATGAAAATGAGCTTTAGAATTTTTTTCTTGAAAGGAGGTGAATAAGCGAAAGACTCTTTATTCTTTTAGGAAGCTCATTTACATGTGTATTTCAGAAGAAATACATCAAAATGTGTAATTCAGTGATCTTGACTTTATTGCAGAATAGAGAAAAAAATGTACCATAAACAGTACCAACTAGTAAGAGAACCACTGTGTAGGGTAATATTATTCATATCAGTATCTCTCATGCCTAGCATGCAATCAGAAAATTAAATGATGTTTATTGAAAAAGTTTAGAGATAAGGATAAAAGATTATGCAGTCATTATTCTGTTTATCTTCAGATTACTTTTTTTCAAAATGATTCCTTCATGTCTGTGTTATTTACATTTTTCTGGGGGTCCTATATCCCTGAGACATTGCCATTTCTTTCTGGTCCCAGCACCATGCTCACTGTGTTAGTGCGTGGAATACCCTTCACTGCTGTGGGCAGGCTGTAGTAGTGGTCAGGCATTGGGTTAGTCCAAGTCTAGAACTCAAATCAACCACCCTGACAGTAACCCCAAGGCTCTTTCTTATGCTGAATGTGGAAATGTCTGGTTACTCTTGCCTTTTTGTAGCCATCTTCTTGGGAAGTAATGTTGACCTCTGGTTTCTTCTCATTCATTTCTCTGTTACTGTCATGCTTTTCTGGGATCCTTTCAACAATTCTGATAACTTGATGGCATTTGTTTGCCTCAGTATGGAATTAGTTTATCTTTTTATGAGTTTTCTGATGTTTCAGCTAGAGGTGTAGGGTAGGCTCAGGCTGAATTCACGTCTAGATCCGGATCTGGATACTGAGAGTTTTATTCTCCTTCAGAAATTCTAGATTTATTCTATGACAAGTCCTGTTTAGAATCTGATTAAGTGAAGAGTTTTGTTTTCTTGCATTTACTTATGAAGTATTTATTGAATAATATCTTAGAAACTGTGTTAGACTGTCTTCTACCAGTCTTCCTTCACATTCCCCAACTCTTCATTCTATAAATCCAGGTTCTGATTTTTTCCCCCATTACTTGTGAATTGCTGCAGAATTCGTTGTCTCTGTGCAGTAAGTACTTCCCATTTCTTTTATAGTTCAGTAAGAGCTAAGTTTGTTCTTATTTGTGTTTGTCATATTTTAAATGCTCCTCTGTTTTCTTAAACTGTGTGCTTTTTATTTTCCCTTATGTTCCGGCTTCCTGTTCCTGTAGTTAAACTAGAGTACAGGCAAATCATCGTTATTCGTTTCATCTTTTTCTCTGCATGCAATACTGCACTGTCTTCTCTTTGTTTCATTCAAGTGTCCTTTTTGTTTCTTATACTTATTTGCCTAGGTATCATGGTTATGGGTTTACTGCATCTCTGTTTCTTTTGTGGAGGATTTAAGGGTTGGTATGCTGGAAGTTTGATTTCTTTTTGTGGCGGCTTTCATGCCCTGGTGTTTGTGAATTAAATTATTAACATAGTTCCAGTTGTATGCCTCATACTGTACTGAATGCTGACAGTTGGACGATGACTAGAAATAGTCCGTGTCCTCAAGGGATTATCCTTTTCTTAGGCTTTTCAAGTTAGCCATTTTTATTAATACTTGTTCAGTATCTGGGTAGTTCTTTTCCTCTCTGCTGGATTGTAAGCTCTTTGAGAGCAAGGACTAGGTGTGTCTTACCCAGCTTTTTTTCCTACAGCACCCACCACAATGTCTGGGAGGTACTGTTCCTTTTTGAATATTTTTAATTGCATGAGAACGTCATCTTTTCATTAGGTCATTTTGTAGTAGAACACTTTGCATGTTGTAGATCATCAGCAAACTTGTTAAATCATTTAAAACCCTAGGAATATTCACATTAATTTATAAGCAGTGAATACAAAGAAAAGGCAGGCAAGGAAACACCTGCACTCTGGGTTCCTGGACTCTGGGGTTTGGAACTGTAGTACCTAACATTTGATGGATGTGCCTAATCAGCATGTCAGGACCTCAGAAGCACCTGTAAAATGATCAGAACTGTTTCTTTGTGGAAAATGACTGCAAAGGCAAAACCCATTGCTATTGCAGGAGTAGAAAGTATAGTAGCATGTAAGAAAGTAATGACTCTTACCCAGGAAATAAAAGTTTTAGCTGTATTATTTTACAGAGCAGAACACAGAATTCAGTTGTGACTTGAGCTCATGTTACTGCATGTGGAATTATGAGTGTGGTAGCTGATGCCAATTTAGCTGGTCACATCACAGATAAAACTTGAAAGAAAATTAGGAGATTATGCTGTAATGATATGGTTTACCCAGGTAACATGCTGATACACAAAGAAAATGTGATTTGGGAAGCCAAGAGATTGTGCAAACCTTTCTGTATTTGTGGACTTTGGGATTTAGAAAATCTCAGACTTTATCTTTCAGTTATTACAAGGATTTTCTGTTATTCGGGTAACAGATGGGAATTTGTGTTCTTCCTGCTCCTCCTCCCTCTTCCTTTCTTACAAGTCCTCCAGCCTCCCCAACCCCACCCTGTTTTCCTGGTTCTCAACCTTCCCTTTCCCTCTGACATCATCTTCGTACTCTTTTCTCTCAGTCCCATGCTCTCCACACACTTAACAGCCAATTTTTTTTTTCCCCTGGAAACACCCACTGGATTAAAGACTCCTTAAGCAAATTAGGGAAAACTAAGAAGGGTGGGAATGACACTATTTTATTTTTTCTTTTTAGTCCTTGCTAAATAGGGAGAATGTCCTTTTATTTCTAGTTGTTAACATGCTCTGTGACTAAATATTAACAGAAAGAGTAAAGAAGTGATTGGCCAAACTTTTTTTTGTCATTTGTTATTAATGGTGTTTAGTAGTTCTAAATGACTCAAAATTCATGATATACTTTCTTTTAGGTCCGTATTGAAACAGCTACAACTCTGAAGTTAAATATCCTTTAAAAATTTTAAAAATACTTTATTGCAAAGAATTTTAGCAACACTTTAAAATTTTTAATTTTGTTAAATTAATTTTTAGCTAATTTAAATGTATTTTTGATTGGTTTATTGTATTTGGTTTTTACATATGTTTTATCCTGGTAAATCTCATAAGTTCTCAGTATTCCTTAGCTGCTCTTCACCTGTTGATGATTTTGAGTTTAGAACAGATCAATTTCTACCGGTAAGAATATCTATTTCTAGGGTTTATAATAATTTCTACTTATGTCTTTTGAATATTATATTATTTTATAGCTTTAATTATATGTATCTGTTATTTATTAAAGTTGCATTTAATGGTATGTTAGATTATTTTGTAATTAATTACTGTTATTGATAACTTTAATTTGAAATAGTTCACTTTTATTCTGCTTGTTCTTGTTATCTTGTAATCTATTCTGGAGTTGACTGCTGAACTTTTCCTTTTCTCACAGTTGCAAAACATCTAGTAATTTCATTTCATGTTGTCTGTTACTTTTACTCCTTAGGTTATCTCCTTCTGTTGTTTGTGTATATATGTCTGTCCTACACTAGATTGCAAATTATTTGAAAAGCAAAATACCGCTCTTACTCATTTTTTTTTTCCACTCAGTACTCAGCACCTAGCATGGTGTTTTCACATAATTGGTATTCAGTAGGCACTTGTTAAATATGTCAGTGAATTGGGACATTGACGTTCTTTTCAAGAAGACTAAAGACAAAAAAAGCTTTATGATACAATGTGTATTTCTTGTGGGGTTGGGGTCATAGATGGGGAAACTTGAAGAGCAGAGACTTTTTGTTAATTAAAGAGTCAGAGGTATTTCTGATGAAAGAAGTATTTTTACAAATGTGTATAAAAAGGAACAGATATCTGAAAGAACAAATGTCTATGTATCTGGCATCCTATCATTTATTAGTTCCTACTATAATTTTCATAATGGAAGAGTTAAAAAGCCAGACAGCATTTTTGTTTTCTATTTCTTAATCAGAAATATTCTGTCTTTCTTAGAATTACAAGTATTTATCTACAAAAATTTGTATCTCTACGTAGCATATGTTAAGGGCCACATCAGAGAGCTGGTATGTGGGTGCAGTAACTTTTGGCTTTAGTGAGTGGACTGTGCAAAACTAAGGCATATGTGAAAGAGTGATGACAAGGCACTGCTCAAAATTTACTTTAGTTAGCAATATAAATTTTAAACACAAAATGTGTAGACAGTTTTTCTCTGAAAACATTTTTCAGTTTGTGGGTGAATTAAATTCTGAAATGAATGCATTTAACAGCAATGAAGAAAAAAGTTATGCCTTAATATTGGCAAACTGAACAATTTGAAGTTGTATAAGTAATGCTAAGATTTTGGCTATTTGTCTTTTATTGCTTTTTATCTTATGATTTAATTTTATTTCTTATTTCTGTTTGTCTGTATGTAAAGACTTTTACATTTCTATTCCAAACTTCTATTTTTTTCTTTTTCCATACAGTATTTGGAAACCATGTTCACACTACTTTTTCAGTTACTGCAGCAAGTTACAGAATGTGACACAAAGATGCATGTTTTACATGTCCTTTCTTGTGTGATTGAAAGAGTCAACATGCAGGTAATTTTGTTATAAAACATGAAAATAAATTTTGGAGGGGTAAGTAGAGTCTGTGTAGAATTCATTAATTGTCTACATTGTTTAAATGTTAAAACATTCATCAAAATGCTTCTAACTTAAAATTTCAGTTCTGTATCAAAATTGACATTTATACTTAAGTTTTAAAAAAATGACCTAAGAAAATTAAAACTGAAAAATAAAAAATTGTATGTGCAATACAGAAGTATTTAGGAAGCAGAATTATGTAGCTCTTAGCAAATCCAGTTTATATGTTTGATAATACTTCTTAAAATTTACTATGTTTGAGGGCATAGCCACAGGTGTCTGTCAGCAAATGCAAATATTCTTAGAAGTCTGTTATTGGTACCTTAAAAGTTGAGTGTGTTTTGCAGTCTAGTCCATGTTATATCTATATTTGGTTTGATGTGTATAGTTCTTCTTGGGGGAGAGGGGAGGAGAGGTTATTAGCTTTACTTATTTATTTATTTTTAGAGGAGGTACTGGGGATTGAACACGGACCCTGTGCATGCTAAGCATGGGGTCTACCACTTAAGCTACACCCTCCCCCACACTGAAGTTCTTAACAGTAAATTATTTTTTATTAAGCTTCCCCTATCACTGCTAATCTTTGTGAAAAATTGATAATCCAGGAATCACACTGTAGTTTTCCTGAAATTTCTTACATCCGAGTTTACCACTACATATTCTTGTTTGAAAGCGTGAGTAAATCTGTGAGGTATTAGGGAAAGATAACTGATTTCGAATCCACAGTCCTGGAGTCTGCTTCTGGATCCATTAGTGAATTCTGACACCTTGAGCCTATTGATTAATTCTAAAGGAGTTGATGAGAATTGCTATCAGTTTTTTTTTTTAAGTGGGTGTAGGTAATTAGGTTTGTTTTATTTGTTTATTCTTAGAGGAAGTACTGGGAATTGAACCCAGGACCTCATGCATGCTAAGCATGCTCTCTACAACTTAAGCTATACCCTCTCCCCTGAGAATTACTATCAATTATTGAGTAATGACAAGTTACCAACTTCTGTGCCAAGTAATTTGCATGTATTTCTCATTTAATCCTCACAAAAACCTTTGGGTGGGAATTAGAATTTATTATTTCAAACTATTTGAAGCTTCAAGGAACTTGCTAAAGTTCCGACATCTTAGTGGCATTGCCAGTATTCCAAACTCAACATTATGCAACACAGTGACCGTTTTGAGTCACTGTTAGTCATTTTGAGCATATCTGATTCCTAGCATCTAAAAGTAGTAATATCTTACAATTTTCTCAACACTTTGGGTTCTTATTACATTAATTACATTATTTTGATATTGCATTTTGATATTGGTTTGTAAACATTGAAGGAGTTTGGTCATTGAGACTATATTTTAAACTCATTTCAAGTCCCTGTCTCTGCTCTTTAGCTTGGGCAAGATCTTTAACCCTGCATCCTCATGTATGAAATGGTAAAGATAATTCTGAGCTCCTGTAACTCACAAGGTTTCATAAGTATGAAATTATTACAAATGTTCAATATGCTTTAGATTACTATATATTTGCAATAGTTTAAAAATGCCGCTTCTCCAAACCTCTAAACCTTTTTCTCCAAAAGTTTAACATTCCTGTTGCTTAGTTACCTAAAAATGCTTTTGTGTTTCTATCCGTACTCATCATCAATAGCCTAAGCAGCTCAGGTGACTGTATCATCAGTAAATACCAGTGAAATACAGTTACCCAGTAGTACTTTTTATTTTCAGAATGTGGGTAGGAAATAGTTAGGAAAAATGTTTTCAGTAGATTCTTTAACATTTTCCTATGTTAACCTTTGAACAACACCATCATTTATACATGTCAACTATCATTTATACACAAATTTGGTTTTTTTCTGTTAGGTTGCGAACATTTTGAGCCATCTTAGAACAGTGTTTTCTGACACATAATAGTTTTTGAAGTTTTGGTAAAGTCACCATCTTTATAGCTTAGCATCCAATTGTTTGAAGATTGTATTTCCTCTGCATTTGAAAAAGTAGTTGAAAACCTATAGTTAAATTTTTTCAGTGGAAGGATCCCATAAATACACAGAAAAAAAATATGTTAATTGGTAAGTGTGATGTCAGACAGTCTTTCGACTTATGCAGTTCTGAAGGAAAATAATAAAATTAAAGGGCCTACATGAAATATTAAATATTCTATTGAAAGTATTATCTGAAAGATGAGTTGTCATTAAGGACTTACTTTTTAGGTCCTTTGGATGGAACCTTTGTTAAAACATTTGTTAGTCCATCACGTGTTTGGTTTTCACATGTTTTCTATAATGTGTTATGAATGAAAGTGGATATCTTTCTGTATACAATGAACTAACTCATGAGACTGTCATGCTCATAGTATCTGCCTGCCCTCATTGTTTTTTCGTGGGGAGTTTTTGGAGTAGAGGTACCAAAAGATGAGTTCTTCTTCATCTCAGTTGTGTTGTGCTGGTGGTTCAGTTTCTATTATAGGGTTATTTAGTATTATTTAGCCCAATGCCTATAAAGCATTCTAAATTCCATGTATTTTTTAAATGTTATGCAAATAGTTGATATTGGCCTACCAGGAAATCTATGTTATAATCATTTTCAGAATTGTATATGGACAGCATTTTTTCTTTCACGTCATTTCATTGAAAAATTTCAAATATACAGAAAAGTTGTAGTAAATCACCACCCATATATCCTTCACCTAGTTTCATCAGTTACCATACTTTCTTTTTTTTATGT